AAATACCTCTCCTCCAAAGGAAAAGAATAACTCCTCTTCATCCTCAGACAGTACAATGGAACTCATGGGAATGTCAGATAAAGAATTTAGAATATTCAGAGTGATAAAGCAAACAGAGATGGAAGAGAGACAATGAACTGCAGAAGAGGCAGGAGAAAGGAGACGACCAGTTCCAGGAGGTGAGGAAATTCTTGCAAGATATGAAAGAGGAAATATACACCATAAAAAAGAATCAGATGGAACTGTTAAAGATGAAAGCCATAATAAAGGGAGTTAAAACTTCCCTTGAAAGTATAAAGCAGACTAGATCCCACAGAAAATCAAATCTCAGATGTAGAAATAGAATCACTAGCATAGAAAAATCTATTATGAAGACTGAGAAAATTGCCATTAAAAAAAAGAGAACAATATACAAGAAATACTAGCCATAATAAAGGGAGTTAAAACTTCCCTTGAAAGTATAAAGCAGACTAGATCCCACAGAAAATCAAATCTCAGATGTAGAAATAGAATCACTAGCATAGAAAAATCTATTATGAAGACTGAGAAAATTGCCATTAAAAAAAAGAGAACAATATACAAGAAATACTACATACAATCAAATGTCCAAATATCAAGATAATTGGTATCCTAGAAAGTGAAGAGACTCATAAGGGCATAGACTGATGATCTATTCGACATTATACCCAGATTAACCAAAACCACAAAGATAGTAAGACTGCTGAGAGAGAAACATCAAGTTACCTACAAAAGATGTCCCATCAAGCTCACAGCAGACTTCTCATCAGAAACAATGTGAGCAAGGAAAGAATGGGAAAATACAAAGCGTTAAGGGAAAAGCAATTTCAACCAAGAATACTGTACCCGGCATGATTATCCTTCATATGGGAAGGCAAGGACATTCTCAGATAAACAAAACCTAAATTTACCAACACCAGACCAGTTTTTCAAGAAGTTATAAAAGGAGGGACCAGCAGTTAGCGTAATGGCTGTCGCTGAACTCCCATGTAGTTGACCGCGGTTCAAGTCCCAGACCCAGTGGCTTAAATTCAC